TGCTGTGTGGCCGGTCCCCTCCCGCCCTGGGGACCCCGCTCCCCCACCGGGCCAGTGGTGCCACCGCTCCGGGCAGCGCGATGGGGACCCTGGAACACCCCGTCCCACCCCAGAGTGCCCCTGCGAGAGCCAGCCCTGCTGTGGGACCTGGCTGCAGCCTGGTGGGAAGGTCCATCCTTCTCCTCATCCTCCTCCTCATCTTCCTCCTCCTCCTCATCTTCCTCCTCATCCCCATCCTCATCCTCCTGCCAGCATCCCCACAGGGATGCCCCAAGCAGGGTTCTGGAGCTCCTTGTAGGAAGGAGTCTGTCCAGTCCCAGCTCTCTCCTTTTGGTTAAGGGAAATGCCTCGCTGAGACGATGGTTTTGCTTTATTTTATCCCTTGGCACAGTTAATATTTGGGTGTCAGTATTTTTTCCAAGACATTTCCTAATCCCTGGAGCTCGTCCTGGGGGTGTGGAGCAGCTCGGGTCGGATCCCCGTGTGTTTGCTGACCCGTACGAGTGATTTTGTGTCGGGAGGGCGGGTGTTTGTTGGCTGGATGAACGGAGGCATCTGCACAGCAGCTCCTGCGCGAGCCACGTCATTGCTTCGTGCCTCAGTTTCCCCTTGTAAACCGGCGCTTGCCTGCTGGGCTAAGTGCTCTGCCAGCTGCCGGGATGCTTTGCTAGGTGGGAGCAAAGGCCACACATATTCCGTGCACGCTTTACACATATTTCTGTGCACACCCAGACGTGTAGTTTTTATTTCTGAAGAACCACTGAAGTGGTTTGGTCCTTTCCCAAAGTATCAAGCAAACCTCTGACAGCCTGGTGTCCCCCCCGCCGTGGGACAGCAGCCTCCTGCTCGGGACAGGCCCGGTGCAAGGACAGGGGGGCTGTACAGGACCCTGCTGTGCTCCGGGCAGGATGGATTCCCAGCCCAGGGCTTGCAGCAAGAGACTCCTCTGATTTACCTGCACAGGGAGGAGCAGCATACATGTCACCCCACGCACGATGGGGGGGACGGGGACCACGGTTTGTGACAGCACGGAGGAAATGAGGCTGTTTCAAGAAGAGCGAGCTCCATCCCTGCATCCTCGCATGGTCCATCAGCGAGGATGGACCAGGATGTGGCCAGGATGCCACCGGGAGAGCTG